GAGGTGTTCAAGGCCAGGTTGGACATGTTGGACGGGGCTTGGAGCAACCTGGGCTGGTGGGGGGTGTCCCTGCCCAGGGCAGGGGGGTGGGACTGGGTGGTCTTCAAGTCCCTTCCAATTTAAACCATTCTATGAGTCTGTGATCAGGCTGTTAAAGTGTTGTGTTTTCCTCAGACACCTGACTGTGTTATGAAATGGAAGCTGTAAAAGCACATTTTCTGATTCTGGTGTTTTACGTTGAATGTAAATTGGATTTTGTTTGTGGCATGTTTCTGAAGTGAGGCGAAAGTGTTTATAAACTGTCAGGAGTGAAGAGAACCGCCAAGGCTGTTGTCCGTGCTCTCAGAAGTCGGGGCCCAAACTCATTACACAACACGTTAGTATAATGAGCAGACTGATTTGGGCAGCAATAACAGAGCTGTCATAACAAAACATCAGTTATATTATGTATGTTAATGATTCTGGGTGGTTTTTTTGTCTTTTTTAGATTCCATATTGTACCAATGAGACATGCAAAATACCTTTACAGTGTTTGGTTAATAGAAAGGTCTGAGTGTGCAGTGCCTGTATTTACCACCTGTAGTTTTATTTTTTCTACCGTACTTGCTGCAGCCTTTATTTATGACCCTTAACTCATTGTTTTGGTTGTTATTCAGAGAAACACTACTTATTCTCAGGAAGCCACAAGGAAATATTAATTGGATTTTACTTTAAGAAGATAAATTTCAACTTCTTCTGAATTTCAGTCCTGAATAAAAGAAGTTTTGATAAATTATCTTCAGGAAAGACAGAGGTCTTTCAGAATACAGTATAGCATATTCAATAACTCAACATTTCTGGGAACTGGACCAAGAATGCGAATAATGAAGAACTAGTCTGAGAAATTCAGAGAGTACAAGCTTATAAAAAACCCCCATGTACAGTCTTTATGTATGAAGGAAGAGGAAATTTGATCATAGAAGTGCCTTTAATATAGGAGACATTGTTGTGTCCAGCTGAAGTTAGACAAAAAGATACTATGAGATTAAATTAGGACATAATTTTTAATGGAAGCATTGTTAAACATTCGAGCTGGATGTTATTTTTAGTACTATCATGTTCACTAAAAAGTAGAGTCAAGAAGTATCACGTCAGAAAGCCAAACACTGTATAAACCTCTAGAGATCTTCTCTGCCCCAATGGCCTCATCCAAAGTATAATGTTTTATGACCAAGTAGACTCTCTTGAGATTAGAATGTATCATAATTGTGGTTTCTGTTGACCTTAAAAATTATGCATCTGTGAATCTAATAATTTTGGTTCCTGAATATTGATTTAGGAATGTAACTAGGTAATCAGTATTGAAAAATTGAAAAGTACATTCTAATAAATGTTAGATTGAATACTATTATAAGTGAACAATAAGTTGTGATTTAAGATACTAAGGTTTAACTTAGTCTGCTAACTTGCAGACATCCAGTAATCAACTTGGGGACTTGCTGAGGGAAATAAAATACTGTTATTTCTCACATCTCAGATGAAGTGTGAGTCATAGAAACTGCGATTTGGTTATTTCTTATACTGAGTCATTGTGCCTCTAACACCAAACATAAAGTGTATGAAAATTCTTTCATTAAAAACAGACACCATGAGCAGTGTGGTTCACGCAAAAAGCATTTACACAGTTCAGTAAATATGCCATCAGCAGTGCAGTGGTTGTGTTGCCTGCACTTAATCTGGATACTTGTAATCGTTGCATCTCTGAAAGATGTTAGTGATCATGGCCACAATTAGCATGAAGTGTTTCTCTTGCTGCAGGTGTTTGAGGGTTTATGTAGTTTTCTAAACAAATACTTCACTGTTCAAAACTAAATACATGATATATTTCACTGTGATTTTCACCTAGATATTATATGCATGTGGGTTCAAGGCCCTATCTCTTTTCATGCCTGTTACTCTCTTCTGTTCTCTAGTTCCCCAGTTGGACCTTGTTTCTTGCTGTTTGTGCTGTTGGAATCGGAGGGACCTTTCAGTATGGGTATAATGTTTCCATTATCAATGCACCCACCCAGGTAAAATACTGTCTCTTGTTCACAGGGTTGTTTTACAGTAGTGGAGGTATCCTCTCTAACTGGCCGAGAGGCCAAATGCACTCAAACTGCAATCACAGCAGAAACGAAGGCAGGTGTCCTCTCCTTTGAAGAATTCTTGTTGATTTCCAGAATGGTTTTGTGTTGATTTGTTTGTAAGTACCTCCCATCAGAGGTATTCTGTATCAGATAAAAAGTGCCAAATGTGCCACATAAGTACCTCTGTTAAAGTCTGTTTTAGAAGGATTAGGTGAATGAATAAGTAACATCTTCCAGTTATGCTTTTGACTAAGATAGCCCAGAACATTAAGGATAGGATAGGATAGGATAGGATAAAACATAACATTTTCATTTGGAAGGGACTTACAACCATCATCTAGTCCAACTGCTTGACCACTTCAGGACTGACCAAAAATTAAAGCCTGTTATTAAGGGCATTGTCCAAATGCCTGTTAAACACTAACAGGCTTGGGGCATCGACCACCTCTTTAGGAAGCCTGTTCCAGTGTTTGACCACCCTTTCTGTAAAATGTCACCACTCCTAATGTCAAGTTTAAACCTCCCTTGACACAGCTTTGAATCATTCCCATGTGTCCTGTCACTGGATAGCAGGGAGAAAGGATCATTACTGTTGTCCATCACAAGGCAGTTTACTGAGAAAGATCTTCTGGGAGAGCCAAAAAGATGCATCTGTAGTTTCTGAGTATCTCGCAGATATTTTCACCTACTTGTTACTTTTGCATTCATTGCCATGGCCTTGAGGATTCTGCTTATTTTGTGGATGACTCAAGAGGATCTGAGCAAATGGTCTTGTGAAAGTGACGGGTATTATTTTCTGCTGTCAGCTGATGTATTTTCTTATGTAACTGTGAAGACTGAATTTGCTACAGCATTGTATGCTTTTTACAAAGGTTAAAATAAGCTGTTTGTGAAAGAACATGTAGTATGCTGGAAACAAAGGGAGAGTCCTGGAAGGTTGTTCTTCTGTTAAGTCTTTGTTTGCTGGCTGAGAACAGGAACCTTTGATTACAGACGCACGTCAGCTCAAGAGTTTTTAAAGGCAAATTTTAGGAATAACAGTTTAGAAGGTCTGACACATGAATACTCCAAGAAAGGCCTAAGAATATTAGAGTTGCAGAAAAGGATTTTACTATGAATTGTTGGATTACACTAAGGCAGGGAGTTTTAAACCAAGTGTTGGAATGAGTCTCCTGACAGTAAAATTTGTTGGGTTATGTGAGACGTCTGTCCTCTGAGATGTTCCTAAAAACTTGTAGGAACACCTGTCCCTCCTTCATTCAGAAGAAACTCAAAGCCCTTTCGTAGCAGTATACGGGAAGTTTGTGTTTTTCCTTGAGTGGAATACAGTTTCCCCTGAGGTATGCTACAAAAGCAAAGCTGCTGAGTGGTCTCTGAGATGTATGGAGAATAGGAAATGGTATTGTGGTCAAGGAATATTCTGCAAGTCATCAATGTTTTTAATATATTACAACTAAGATGATAGCTTTTGTTAGCTCCCAGAATTGGTTTTCAGGATTGAGGTGCAGGTTATATATAGTGCTATGGTGGGGGCTACAAGTAATGCCACATATTCATCATTCTTTTCTACTGCAGCATATACACAGATTCTTAAATGAAACCTGGACTAGTCGTTATCACAAGGAACTAAATCCAGATTTGCTGACTTTTCTTTGGTCTGTCATTGCTTCTGTATTTTCACTTGGAGGCCTGTGTGGAGCCCTTATTGGAGGCAGCATGGCGATTCGGCTGGGCAGGTGAGTCACAGCAGCAGGCATATAGCAGGATGCTTTCCTTTCCTCCTTTCTTGCTGAAATATAAAATAAATAAATGGAAGAAGAGCAGGAAAAAATGTGACTTAGATGACTATAAATGTTTTTCACTTCAAAGCAGAGTTTTCTATTAGAATTTTACAGTTTGTTCCAATGTGACTTTAAAAGATGAGCCCTGAATGGCATCCTTCCAGTCCAGTCTTTCCATTGTCTTTATTGAAATCTAAGTAGGAGTATGCACATAGCGCATGGTAGGAAACACAGGTCCCCCATACGCATGTGCTGCCTTCATGCCGGTAAGGACACGCTGTGTCATCTGAACCATCTCATGCGCATTCTGTATAGATCTAGCATAAATGAACAACCCCCTACGCCTACCCTGTCAGGCATTTCTGTCAAATTTATGTATTACCCTTATGTTTGGACTTTGTTTTAAAATCTGAGTAAATAGTTGTATCAGATATCTGTCTTTCCAGTTAATAGCACGTTTCTTCAATATAAAGCCCATTTTTTCCGTATTACCAGAAAGGAAGACTTTTTTTAAAAAAAGCATGTTATTGCAGATTTTCTTAACAGTTTGGGATTTTTTTTCTCCTCTTTAGGAAAGGAGCTCTTTTGATGAATAATATTATAGCAATACTAGCCTCCATTTTAATGGGGATCAGTTTTCCTACAGGATTGTTTGAGTTACTGATTGCTGGAAGGTTTTTGATTGGCATAAATTCAGGTGAATGATTTCCTATTCCTGCTTTCAATAAACTATGCTGAATGATAAGTGATTGTTACTGCTGATTCTTTAGGTATTATGATATTTGTTTGTATG